TCATCATCAAACAATTGGGTCCTAGAACAGATCAAGCCAGAAATCTTCCTGGAGGCCAAGATGACAAAACTGAGGCTACCGTACTTGGGCCACACCATGGAAAGGCATGATTCACTGGAAAAGACAATAGTGCTAGGAAAGGTGGAGGGATGTAGAAAGAAAGGAAGACTGCTTTCTAGATGGATGGACCAAGGAAGTCATGGGTATGAATTTGCAAGACCTGAGCTGAGCAGTGGAGAATAAGGAATCTTGGAGATGTCACATCTACAGGTTCGTCATGAGTCGAGGTACGACAAAGGCCCTGTGTGGCATAGAGTTTGAGCATTGGGCCACAACTCTGGAGATGACATTGAGGAGGAAGAAGAGGAGCAGGAAATGGAGCCAGCCTTTCCCTACCAGACTCAAAGGGACACCTGGGGGTCATCTAGTCTAACCCTCTGTCCGTAAAACAGCACATACAGTGCTAACCTCTTAGATTTAGACATCCCTCCCTGCTAGTCAGGCTCCAGATGTGGCAACAGTGGAGATTGGGAACCTGAAGATAGGAAGGCACTTACCATCAGGAATTTTTTTCCAGGTGGTTTAAGTGAGTTCTTGTTCACCTGAGCCAGCTTTAAAGGAGAATCACTGAATTGTAGAATCATAGACAGCCAGCATGGTGTAGTAGGTTAAGCACTGGATTATAACTCCGGAGACCAGGGTTCAATTCCTAGCTGTGCCATGGAAACCCACTGGATGACCATGGACAAGTCACACTCTCTTAACTTCAGTGGATGGCAATGGCAACTCCCCTCTGAAGAAACTTGCCAAGAAAACCCCATGGTCGCCTTAGGTTAGGTTTAGCTTGCCTTTTTCTCAAATGACATCCAAGGTGGCTCACATCTTCAGTGGGCATGGGAATTATGAATGAGAGCTGGCATGGTGCCATGATTGGAGTAATGGACCAGGATTCCAGAAGGGCAGGGTTTGAATCCTTGCTCAGCTACAGAAATCCACTGGGTGACCTTGAGTAAGTCACACTCTCTCAGCCACAAAGGAAGATAATCTCAGGCAATCTCCACTTAAACTCTTGCAAATGAGACCAAGCGTGGTGCAGTGGTCTGAATGTTGGAACAGATTCTGAGGGACCAATGTTTGAATGCTGCTCAGGTGTGGAAGCCCATTGGGCCACCTTGGGCAAGTCACACTTTCTCAGCTTCAAAGAAAGGCAATGACAAACTTTCTCTGATGTTTGTCATTGCCTTTTCAAGGTCACTGTAATTAAGGGAGACAGTGTTGTATAGTGGTTTGAGTGTTGGACTAGGACTTCCAGAGACCAGGGTTCACATCCTCTTTCAGCCATGGAAACCCACTGGATGACCTTGAGCAAGTCACACTCTCTCAACAAAAGAATGGCATGGCAAACCCCCTCTGAACAAATCTTGCCAAAAAACCAAAAAACAAAACCCCCACCATGGCTGCATTCATACAGTAGAAATAATCCAGTTTGATATCACTTTATCTGACATGGCTCAGTGCTATGGAATCCTGGGAGCTGTAGTCTTGTGAGACATTTGGCCCTTTCTGTCAGAGAGCTCTGGTGCCACAACAAAGTGAAATTCCCAAAACTCCACAGAATTGAGTCATGGCAGTTAAAGTGGTGTCAATCTGGATTATTTCTGCAGTGCAGAGGCAGCCCATAGATTTGCCTTAGTGTTGCCATGAAGTCAGAAATGATTTGAAGGCATCCAGCAGCAACGTGAATTGATCTCTATTTTTTTCTAAATAAAAATAAAAATAAAATACCAATTAAATTACAGTGGGCCATTGTTAACTGCTGGGGTTTGGTTCCAGGACTCCCTGTGGATACTTAAATCCATGGATGCACGAGTCCCTTTAAATATAATGGTGTAACAAAATGGTACATCTCTAGGATCTCATATATAGAATCAAACATTGACCAGAATGGAGACTGCAGTCAAGAAAGAAGAGGAAGACTAGG